ACCTACTGTGGTATCTTGGAAGAAACGTGCTAGAGAAAGATGATGAATTACAACATACATCTGAGGACAGGGAGGCCTGGCATGCTGTAGTCTATGGGGTCTCGAACAGTTGCATACCACTTGGTGACTGAACTACAACATACACTGAAGGTATCAGTTTGGTCTTTGATTCTAAACTTCAGAGGACGTCGGCTGTAGCAATATGGTTACCAAAAGGTCAGTATTGGTTTTGTGTGCCATCACCATCATTAAAAAGGGGATATTATGTCTCTTTCCAAGGAATTGTTTTTTTATAACTTCATCTTAATTTCTGTCTGACCTCATGTGTGGACTGAGAGGATCAGACAGGCTGGATGAAATAGAAAGTGTCACTGGGGATGCTTTATCCAGAATGCTCCTTTTCCTCCTGGTTACCTAGCCCAGCCCCCTTCTGTCCCAGGTTTCTGTTATCTCCCTTAGTGACAAGACATGATGCTATGTAAGGAGGGAAGTTAGAATTCAAATCCATGGGAACCCTCTTAAGAGAGAAAGAATTGCCTGTGATTCCAGTACAGGGATCAAACCTGCACCCCTGCAGTGGAAGCATAGACTGCTAACCACTGGACCAGCAGGGAGGTCCCTGGGCATGTATTCTTAACATTTCATTTTCCTGAACCAGTCTCTCCCACAGCCTCTAGCCTGTCCACTTTGGATTCTGTGTCAGTGCATCTTTCTTCCCCTTCATCCCGTGGTTGCCTTTCATTCTACTCTTTCTTCCTCATTCTTGGTTTACGCTCTTATTTTGGTGGATCACAGGCTCCTCTAGCTTCCTAGTTAGTATGTGAAAGGTCAATGTTTTGAGATCATTCTTGTGTAAAAACATCTTTATTCTAGTTTCTTAGTGTTTTGGGTAAGTATAGAATTCTCAATTGGAAATCATTTTGAATACATTTGAATAGTTTTGAAGACGTCATTCAATCATGTTTTAGCTTCCAGTTGCTGCTGTGAAGTCTAATGCCATTTTGATTCTTGATATATCCTGTTTTATTTATTCATTTGTTTTCCTCATGGGAAACTTGTAGGGTCCTCTCTTTGGAGCCAGTGTGCTGAAATTTAACAGTGATATGCCTGTGTTTGAGGTTTGTTTTCACACACTTTTTCAGATGCTCAATAGGCCCTTTGAATATGAAAACTCATTTTTTTTCAATTATGGGGAAATTTCTTGAATTTTTTTGATGATTTCTCTTCCTTTTTTTTTCTATATTTGTTCTTTATGGAACTCCTATTATTTTGATTTTTTTTCAACCTTCCGGATTTATCCTCTAAACTTATTTCTTCCTCTCCTGCTTTTCTATATTTTTGCCTTTTTTGCTCTGCTTTCTGAAAAAAATTCTTCAGTTTTACTTTATAACCTTTGAATTTTTAATTTCAGCTATTGTTTTTCTAACTCTCAAGATCTCTTTAATTTCCCTGCCTTTTTTAGTGGTATGCCATATAATATCCTCAGATATTTGGAAAACCTTGGTTGTCTGCTCATATTTAAGTAGGAGAAACAGAAAGCTGATAGGCAGCTCTGAATACCCAGTGAGACCTGCTGGCTGTGAGCTCTCCTGCAGGATAACACGGTTGACTCCTTCATTTGGAGATCCACTGAGATCAGAATCTTTAGCTCTTTTCTTCTGGGCTGGTCGGATTCCCAGAGGAGAATTTCCAAATCTCTGCTTGTAGGATGAAGGCCTAACTTTCTGGGAGCGGAGGAGCAGAGGTCTGTGTATTTAGAACACTTTGCTCACTGTTGATGGTGCCTCCTAACAGCCAGTCATTTCTCACTCCTGAGACACTCGCCTACCCTCTGCAGGGGGTCCAGCAGCCCTTTACTGGGGTGGTGGAGGGTCAGTTGTCCTTCATTTCACCCCACCCCCTTTTCCCGCTACTTCCAGTGGTAATTGACACCATCAGTTCCTGAGCATTTGGGGGCATTCTGTAGTGTAAATCAGATTGACTCTTGGATTTCCCCATTGCTTGGTTATGATTTCTTATTTTTTGAGGCTTTTAATTACTATTATTATTTTACAATCTATTCATCCCCTTTCTAGTTTTAAAAAAGTTGCTACTGGTATCCCTTTTCCTGTTCTCCCTGTTCTTGTATGTTTATATCTTTAAAAAACAAAAAGCTGTTACTGTGATTTTAGTGGGAGCTTGCCAAAGGAGTGAAACACATGAGCACGTGTGTGTGTGTTCAATCTACCATATTTATCCAGATTTCTCATAATTTGGATTTAATGTTTGTTTATTCTGGCTTTTACGATGAAGGTACTGACCTTTTATCTTGATGTTTCTTTTATGTAACTGAATTTGTTAAATTCAGGAGTTGCATTATCATTACAACAGACTAAAAGGCTGACTTTGTTGCCAAAGCACAGAATATCCCCTCTTACCTCATATTCAGTAATATAGTACCAATGGCTTGGGGTCTACCCATTTGAAAGTACTGGAAGTTAGTTAGTCCTTAAGAATCTTTGTCTGTGAAAGGTCCTGAATAGTTTTACAGGATATTCTTAGAAATCTCAAGGTGAAGGGATTTGTTATTTCATTTTTCTTGATCTCAGATTAATTTGAAACCTGGATCCCTAATCTCTGAATAGAGAAACAGAAAAGATAAATACAAACAGCAAAACAGAGCCACAGACACACAAATACATGCGCGCACACACGCGCGCACGCAGGCTCATAAAGAGAATGATGCAAACAGGACAGGGAGAATTGGAAGGTGATCAATTAAGACATTAAGTGTTTTGTGACACACGGACGCATCTACATTTTGCCTTGATAACAAGGCCATCAGCTCGTTTTCAGAGGGCTACTGCCTTCTTCAGCTCAGTCCTCAGATCAAAGCAAACCTGTCTGCGTGCATTTTCCAATCAGAATGGGCATGCTACTTTATACTCCTTAATGTGTGATGGTAAGAGACCCCTTCAATTAACTGAATTCTATAGCTGGCAAAATAAAAGGTATACAAAGAGGCGCAGGCTGGAAGAGCCGAAATTCTCATTAAATCAAAAGGTCCAGTATTCATTACCTCGTGCATCTGAGGCTAAACACTAAATATGGGGATCATCAAAGGAGGTTTAATGGGTTAAATTGAGAATATAATCTAATTAAAACATTAGACATGGCAAATAGTTCTTTGATATTCATCTAAAGGTTTCATTAAAAATGGGTGCTTGAGGTTTGTATGCTAGATTATCAATTTTAAGGCAAGACAGCATCCGTGGTACCGCTTCAAAGTGGCACCATTGTGTGGAAGCAGGGGAAATGGGAAAAGACATTGCTGCCAGGTGACGGGTTGGAGATCCGGGGTAAGGCCAATCAGGTTTCATGAGAGTGATTTTGATCATTGTCTGGATGGCAAAAAAGAAAGTGTAAGGATGAATTTAGGAGGCAAATTTGCCACAGAGGAAAGTGTCCATTTGGGGCCCAAATTATTTAGTGCAGATATCCACAGGGATTTTACTCACTGGACGTTGATTTTCTTTTCTTCTTCCTTCTCCTGTACAAACAGCTTCCCAAAGGATAACTGGTGTACTTGGTGGAATTTAAATTTCTGAAGGTTTTCTCCCACTGTCAAATTTGCACCCTTAGGATACCTACTGTTTAAGCATCTCTTGCAAATGCTTGGGACTCCAGCGACAAGAGGTGCTCTGAAAAGCCAGTCTGGCAGCCTCCATATCTGGTCGGGTCTCTCTGAGCTGTCAGCTCATTAAAGAAAATTTCTGACATCTTATCAGATATTTCCAGAGCATCACTAAATATATTTGCCTGAGATAGTCACATCATTGTAATCCTCTCGACCCGTTAGAGTTGTTTAATAGCGGAAGACCATTTATTCAGCTTATTGAAAATTAATTACTTACATGGCTCAGGTTTGCAAGGGTACAATGAAAAGGCAGTGGAGAGGCAGCAGGGGGATAAACCTTGCCGCCAAATTCTTTTTTCTTCTCTTCATTTTACCCAAAGAGGCCATATACTGAGTGGTAGAGAGAGCCGAAAAAAAATCTGTGCACTTTGCATCTTATTGCTTCTCACACTGATATTTTCATAACCTTTTGGGAAAGCCTCAACTTTCCAGCTATTCCACTAAATCAAAATCAAGTAACAAAACATGAAGAATGGGAATCTTTAAGACGGATGGGGAAATAAAATGAACAAATGAAAGAATGAATACATTGATGAATGAAAGAAAAATCTGCTATCCATACCCTTTTGCTTTCCATTGAATGGATGTTTGCCTAGGAAATGGAGACATTTTGTGTTTTCTCAGTACCTTTGTGAGAAAGATGTGTGGTTTTGCTTAATGAAGTGAGAGGGGGAGTAGAAACAAATACTGTACTTAATCTGGAGGCTGTTGAGGGGACAGTTCTGAATATCAGATTTTTAGCTACTCTGAGATCCTACTTCCATATGCTTTAAAAAGTGGAGTGAATATATAAGTAAAAATTTTATTAGAATACATATTTCTCCTTTTTTTGCCTTTATAGTACAGAAATTTTGTCTGACAATGTAGAAAATTTCTTATAATCAAGGATATAGAATGGGAGTGAGACATTGGATAAACAAAATCTGCAATAATGAAAAAACATCACATCATGCTACTAGTTTTAAATCCTTTTTCACTAGGAAAATAGCTAAGCAAATGGAGCACTCATGTATCTTTTTGTCTTTCTGTTTTTACCCATTAGGAATAGAAGTTATGAAAATGTAGTTAGCATTAGGGAGAAGTCCTATAGTTGTCCTGTAGAATACTTGAGAGTTAGATGAAATGTGTATTATTGTTGTTCAGTCATTAAGTTGGTGCCGGACTCTTTGTGACCCCATGGACTGCAGCACACCAGGCTCCCTGTCCTTCACTCTCTCTCGCATTCAAGGTTTATTCTTGATAGGAAAAGATAATCTTTAAAAAGGCATGCTTAGGAAAGCAACCTTCATTTTTCCTTAAGAACTTTATATTTTCAAGTGCAACTTCTAATCTAATGATAATATATGTTTGGAAGCACATCTTGGAGAGAATTAGTTAAACTTGTCCTGATATGTGCAGACTGTCACCCAAATTCAATTCATTTTTTATGCAATTTTTCAATCAGTAATTAAAAAAGAATCCCCCCTGAATTTATCCTGTCTGATATTATAGACCATTTGCTATCAACTCAAAGTTCTCAATTAGCTCCAGTGTTGTTCTAATTACTGGATGTGTTTTCAAACAACTCCCAGCTAATAACTGTTGGGATGAAGAGTCATTTTCTCACTATAGAGTAGGCTGTGCATGCTCATGTTTGCTGCGATGTTTTGACAATGATTCATTAACCAATAATAAGGCCCCGATTGGAACCATTAGACTTTGGTGCTTTTGCTACGCTTACCTTTTATTTTATTCCTCAATATTGTCTTTTCTTGAGTTGGTTTCTAGATAACCCCCAGGAGACTCCTTACCATACAGAACAATATCATGAAGACAGCTGTCATTAAATTCAGCTACTTGTCCAAAAGCTCCCTCTAGGAGGATGCTCTTGTTGGAAACTCAAGAAGAAAAAACGTCACAAAAGGAGCTACAATAAGAGAGCATACATGATTTAAAGGTCCTTTATTTATACCAGCTCATAGAGATTAGGCAGATTAGGCACTATGTCTTTCAATGGCTTATCTAACATCTGGTCAAATCCAGGGCCTCCATCATTTTATCACTCAGGTTTATAGTTTCGTGCCCTCTGATAGGCAGGTTCTTTTTATTTCCTAAATATCTGAAACAGAAATACTATAAAATTGATTACTGATCCACTTGGGTCTATAGAAGATCAATGTTATTAGTACAATTTTCTTGAAAGGAGGCGTCAATAAGTGTTTGTCTTTCACTATTCTTGCAGAATCTCTGTCCTGTCCTAGTGTCATAACATTTTGCTTAGACATTAGAGACATTCTGCTGGATCTTATGGCTGTGGAATGACTTGGGGTCAGATGAAGCCTACTTTGAACTATTCTTTGATTTCAACCCCCAAACTTTCAGCAAATATGTTCTTTTTTTTTTTTTTTTAAGCTGAAGTCATTTTAGATGCTACCTGTCACTTTCAGAATTTGGGTACAAAGAACTTTTTAAAAAAGCATCCCATTTTTAAAAAGTTATTTTTGGCTGTACTGGGTCTTTTGCTGTGCAGGCTTTTGTCTAGTTGCAGAGAGTGGGGGCTACTCTCTAGTTGTGGTGTGTGAGCTTCTCATTTCAGTGGCTTCTCTTCTTGGGGAACATGGGCTTTAGACACGCAGGCTTCAGTAGTTGGGGCACACAGGCTCTAGAGCACAGGCTCAATAGTTGTTGCTTATTTGCACAGGCTTAATTACTCTGGGGTATGTGAGATCTTCCTGAAATCATTTCTCCTGCATTGACAGGTGGATTCTTTATCACTGTGCCACTAGGGAAGCCCCTGTGTACAAAGAATTTTAATTGTGCTAGAATCATACTTATTGGATGGTAAAGCCTTGCCTTGGATGTGAAGTCTCTGGGAAATGTTTGATATCTACTGATTCACTGAACCTGCTTCAGTGGAGTGTGGGTTCTAAATGGCATTGATATGTGTGAACGTGCCTGAAGGATTTAATGCTTAGGCTGACAGAAATGGTTAGGGAGGGTTTTTAAATGTTCTGGAAAAAAAAAACTGTAATAGCATCTCATTTATTGGTCAACATTTGAGTTGCATTGTGATGTCTCTTACAACTTTATCAGTGTAGTAATGAAGTTGCCAGATTGTGCATGCTAAAAATGCAAGATAGGTAATAATGCGTATTTCTAAAAATGGAACTTAATGGTGGAAGTTCATGTCCCATATTGAAATATATAGCTAATTCCCCTTTGCTCACACAGAGAAGCAAGAAATCTCTCTTACCACAATCAGTCAATCCAACAGCACTGTTCAAAGACTGGAGTTTAGACCTTCCTGCTCTCCCACTGTAGGACTGAAGGGATTCAGAGTCACACCCTTTCTTGATCATCATTGCCTCTTCTGAAAAATTGACACTTGAACAAGATAAACCCCTTCCAAGCTCTAAATTCCTTTAAGATAAGTTAATAGAAACGTAACATTTAAATAACTTACCCTGTCCCTTTACATATGGAAATATGGAAATGTCTTATATGCATTATTCCCTTTATCTTCCAGAGCAAGTTTAAATTTAAGGCCATTTAGGGAAAAAAATCATTCTAGCTCATGTTTTTAGAAAAATCTTTGAACATGTAACCTAAAGGGTCCACTTCTTTTATAAATACATTTTAGGAGCAGCTTGGGCTATGATTTTCCTGAACTAACTCCTCATATATGCTCTGATTTCCTCAATACTACTGAACCAGGATGCTCCAACTTACTGTTTATCTTCAGATACTTGTTATCTTTCCAGACCTTCAATTCTGTTTCCAGTAGGAGATTAAATTTTGTACAGGTAGCCTTTCTACCATGTTGTGGTATATGTAGATGTATACAACATAGGAATAAATCTCCAAAGCTAGTCCTTATGCCACCTGTAGAGAGAAACAGATTTGCCTGGAGAATTCCATGGACAGAGGAGTTTGGTGGACTACAGCCCATGGGGTTGCAGAGACGGACACGACTGAGTGATTAACACTATACTGTACTATTGTTAAATGTGTCCATTTCTGGATATAGCCATCTAAGAATGCAATGCCCACCTAATACAAGCAACTCAGAAAAATTAAATCCTCCAGTAAATTAAGACCTGTGAATTTTACAGTGTGTATGCTGAAGAATTGATGCTTTTGAATTGTGGTGTTGGAGAAGACTCTTCAGAGTCCCTTGAACTGCAAGGAGATCCAACCAGTCCATCCTAAAGTCCATCAGTCCTGGGTGTTCATTGGAAGGACTGATGCTGAAGCTGAAACTCCAATACTTTGGCCACCCGATGCAAAGAGTTGACTCATTGAAAGAGACCCTGATGCTGGGAGGGAGTGGGGGCAGGAGGTGAAGAGGACGACAGAGGATGAGATGGTTGGATGGTATCACCGACTCGATGGACATGAGTTTGAGTAAACTCCGGGAGTTGGTGATGGACAGGGAGGGCTGGCGTGCTGCAATTCATGGGGTCGCAAAGAGTTGGACACAATTGAGTGACTGAACTGAACTGAGTTTCAAAAGATTTTTTAAAAAGTAAAAAAATATTTATTAATATTGACATTCACTAGTACACAGTGGGATGTTTTTGTCTTAGCCAGTGTTTTTGTGTGAAAGCACACACCTGAGGATATTTTTAAGATATTTGTGATGGCAAGATGGTCAGCACATTTATAGACTTGAGAAAGAAGTTTTGGGAAAGTGGGCCTCAGAGTTGCCTAACTTGAGCGTTCCTGGACTTGGTAGATTTCTGATTAATGTCTTGATGCTCTGTTAGAACAGCGCTGAGATTTATTTTACTTGAGTGAGCACATCTGAAGCACTTTCACTTAAAAGATTTTATCCTTTAAAATATTGAGAGATGTTAGAAATGTTTTGGAAACGACATCTCAAAATTTACCTGTGTATAGTCCCATTTGAGTTTTTTCAGTAGAAACCGAAGTGTTCATACTTTTTTTTTTCTTATCAGAAAAACGAGAATAAACCTAACTAGATAGATTTATTTCTGGGTAACTTCAAGAGTTTCATTATGCTGAGAAAGGGTAGCCATCATTTTAGAAATTAGAAGAGCTGATAGAAAAGTAGAAGGTTTTATTCCCTAGTTCTTATTCAGCCCCAGTTTTAACTGATTTTTAAAATAAATAATTAAAATAGTTTTTCTTCCTGGAAAGTAAAATATGGCACCATCTTGTAATTAGGGCTCCATATTTTAAATCCTGTACAAAGCAAACATGGAATGTGGTTAGTTAGATGATGACATGAGGTCATCACTTAATGCAGAGCAGTTAAAGTTGGAATTTCTCTCCTCCATGTCCATTCCCCGAGTGTCTCTGGTCTCCAGCGCATATGTTGTCTATACAATGTGAAGGACTTTAAAAGCAGCCACGGCCTGTTTTTCTCTTTCGTGTCTGTTCTGCAGCACTTCCAGCAGTGAGATTTCAGGTAAGGTGCCTTCTTTTCCAGCATGGATTGGATTTTTCTTTTCTTTTGAGGTTTGATCACTCAGATTTGAAGGTTTGGGTTTGGGGATGGTCTTAGCATATTCCAAAGCCTAAAAGCATATAAAAGTTTATTTGAGATGGGAAGGGAGCCCTGGATTCCTTAAATATAGTCTTAGAAAAGGTTTATTGATAATATAAATGGAGACTATTGCTACAGGTAATGTACTAAGACATGGGTGGAAGTGGAGACCAAATGGAAAATACAAATAATGCAATATAACACACAGTTTAAATAAAATTAGCCATGTAACAAAATGCTGTGGAAAAAAAAAAAGAGTTGAAGACTGATACATACAGTTGTGCCTTTGGATGTTTTCTTTATAAAACTGAGCTTTATTAAAGTGCTTGAAAATAGATTTCTTATGTGTTTGATCTATTTAGCTTCTGGCAGTCTTATTAAAACCAAACCTCTATTAAGGAGATATTAACAGACCTTTCCATCCAAAGAGGACTTGTTACAGCTTGAGACCAAAGACATCACTGTAGTTGAGATAAAATTGAGCCTCCATTATTACACCAACTATTCTTCTTTCTGGCTCTTAGACCTCTAGCAAGTATTCTTTAGAGGTTGAAAATTATTTTTTCTTTTTTTTCTTTTGTATACCTATAGAAACCTGGATACTGAAAAAAGGCAGTCTTTTATTCATGGCTGTCAGTTCTGAAAGACATTACAATAAAAATGAGCTCACTAAATATGATTTCTAAATCTGCCTTTATATGTTTTAACACTTTTTTAAAATTAAAAAATTGAAGTATAGTTAATTTACAATGTTATTTTAGTTTTATGTATACAGCTAAGTGATTCAGTTATATATATATACACACACACACACACACACACACACACACATATATATATATATATACACACTTTTTCAGATTCTTCTCCATTATGGGTTATTACAAGATACTGAATATAGTTCCCTGTGCTGTACAGTAGCTCCTTGTTGTTTATTTTATATGTAGAAGTGTGTATATGTTGATCCCAAACTCCTAATTTATCTCCCCTCTCTAGTTTTACATTTTAGTAAGTTTCCTGAGAGCTGAAATGGGAATAGATGCAATATATATAAGTTCTGGAAGGGGAAAAATTTCCAAAACAGAAAAACTGCAGACTTCTCCCTGTGTGTAGGTGACTTCTGTTGGAATTTCTAATTATAGACTTGCTGCCTTGAATTTTTTCATGAAAAAATAATGGTTTGGAGAAAAAAGAAAAAGTGGCACCATGGAAACTCAATCAAGAGGACTGAGGTCTTCAAGGTCTGAGGAAGAAAGGCAATAGATAGAAAATATGAGAGTCTGTGAAAGAGAACATGGAGTCCAAATACCTAAAAGCACCAAAGGGTCACTTGTCCTTCATGCAAAGGGTCCCACGTCCTTGCTGGGACTGGGGCAGAGACTTGTACTGCAAAGCTTGGTGTCCCCATAGAACATATTTCATTCACATCACAACTTAGAGTTGGATGACTTCTGAGAGGGAGAACATTCTGTATTTTATGAAATCATTTTTCTTGGGTTGTTGTTGTTCAGTCGCTCAGTTGTGTCTGATTCTTTGCAACCCCATGGACTGCAGCACATCAGGCTTCCCTGTCCTTCACCATCTCCCAGAGTTTGGGCAAACTCATGTCCACTGAGTCAGTGATGCCATCCAACCCTCTCATCCTCTGTTGCCTCCTTCTCCTTCCCTCAATCTTTCCCAGCATCAAGGTCTTTTCCAATGAGTCAACTCTTTACATCAAGTGACCAAAGTATTTTCTTAGGTAGAGGAACCTATACCTATTGTACCATTGCTTAGGGAAAATGTAGGGAGTGAACTTGAAACAATGAAGGACTTTCCTCTGACATCAGCACCCAGAGATGGCAAGAACATGCTAATTTCTTAAAACTTGTTTAGTGGTGGAGACGGAAATTGATGGTTAATCAGGATTACTAGTTTCTTTTAGAAAGAAAACCACCTAAGCATTCAATTTTTGTGTGACAAACTTGAAATACTAGGAGGAAAACACATGGAGGACAAAAATAATAGTGACCCTCAGGGGAAAAAAAGACTCTAACCTTCCAGCAGCATATGTGGGTATATCACTTTTACATCAATATCTGTGAATGACGGGGTGCTGCAGGAATGGTAGTAGCTAAAACATCCTCTGTGTTCAAAAGAGGTGGGGAATTTAAGTCATGAGGTCACAAAGATTTCCTTTTAATTCTAATTGAAAAGAGAACTGCCTTGGTGAGAGTGTCTTACCTTCTGCCGCGGGACAGCAGGTTTATTTTCAGTTATTGCTGTTTGTGGCTTTGGGGGGATGGAGAGTGCCTTCATGTTGTATTCCTTCACTTGTTTAGCATATTCCTTTTGCTGTATTAACTTCTGCATCTGTTCAGAGAAGCACAGGGAGGGTGACTCACAGGTCCTGCTAGATCGCTCTGTTCTCTCTTTCAAGTGACACTAATTTTAGTGAGCTGGGCATACAGTATCATTAGCACAGGGGAAATGGGATTACCATGTGTGACAGCAGTGAAATGGTTAAATTAATGTTTCTCCTAGAAATCATTCTCTCTCAAGGGGGCACTAATACACCCAGTGTTCCTTTAACAGGGGCTAAATCACATTCAGCCTCTGCTTTGTTGCGTTTACCCAATTTATTTTCATTTTTGCTTCCAACTTTGAACTCTACTCTCTTTTTATGCCTTGAGTGCAACTGCAGTTAAAACACATTAAATGAAGATCTCCTTTCACTAGAGGAAAGAGAATAAAGTGGATGCACTTTTCATGGGCTGGAAAACTGTTACTCTGAGTGTCTTCTCTGTAGCCACTCTTCAGTATTCTAAAGATAACTCTATTGGAAAAGACCAACAACCACATAACACAGACATCTCTTTTCATGGGCACGTGCCCCACTTTTCTGTTTGGGCCTTCAAAACTAACTTAAAAGGTGGAAACATAAAACAACATTGGCTGAGTAATTTTATTTCATGGTAGGAGGAGTGCCTGGGGCTTCTTATTAATACCAGTGCTATTTCAGAGGGGTCTCTATTCAGAGGGAGATGTTTGAATTAGAACTTGGTTCTGGGGGTCTCTCTATACAGTTCTGCTGGAAGACAAAGGGCAGATCTGAGCCTGGAAATGCTGTAGGTTCCTCCCACTCACTTTGTCTCTGATGGACTCAAGGTCAGGTCCGAGGCCTCCAAGTTTCACATCTCTGTTCTGATAACCTTTCAGCTTGGAGCTCTTGAAAATACAAAGAGAGAGTTTCCTTTAGAGACTTGTATGTTCCGCCCCCTCCCCCGCCCCTTCCAAGTTGTCATAGCCACATGAGAAAGGGGAGAAGCGAAATGAAGAATGGTGGCCTGCGTGGACCTTGGGGGAGTGGGTGTGTCCTGACAGTTCTTCCATTTTAATGGTCATCATTGATAACAGTGTCCTTGGTAATTTGTAGCTGGTGGGCTGACATGTGTGGACTTTTCCACTTCTGCAATAAAAAACACTGAACTTCTCAAAATTATAAATAAAAAATTTCAAGTGAGTAAAGTGCTGCTTTGTTATTAACTTTTTTTTTTTTTACTTTTCTTCCTATATTTTTAGTTTAAATATTTAAAAACTTTTTTACAATGTTATGTTGGTTTCTGCCATACAACAATGCGAATCAACTCTAATTATACATGCATTCCTTCCCTCCCTAGCCTTCCTCCTCTCCCCCCATCCCATCCCTCCAGGTCATCACAGAGCACCAGACTGGGCTTCCTGTGCCACACAGCAACTTCTCACCAGCTATCCATCTTATACCTGATAGTATATGTATGTTGATGTCACTCTCTCCCTCCCCCACTGTGTCCACAAGTCCATTCTCTACATCTGTGTCTCCATTCCTTCCCTGAAAATAGGTTCATCAACATAATTTTTCTAGATTCCATATATATGTGTTAATATACTGTATTTGTTTTTCTCCTTCTAACTTCACTCTGTATAACAGGCTCTAGGTTCATCCACCGCACTAGAACTGGCTCAAATTCATTCTTTTTTATGGCTGAGTAATATTCCACCATGTATGTGTATCACATCTTCTTTATCTACTCATCTGTCAATGGACATTTAGATTGCTTCTATGTCCTGGCTATTGTAAACAGTGATGCTTTGAAAATTGAGGTACATGTGTCTTTTTCGATTATGGTTTCCTCAGGGTACATGATCAGTAGTGGGGTTGCTGGGTCATATGGTAGATTTGTTATTGATATTTTTAACATGACGGACACATTCCTACTTTGCTGCTACTATGACAAGTATGTCTAGTTTCATTCCATTCACTGTACCGAATGATCTTCCTGGAACAGGTGATCTATCAAAAAATGACTTGGGTAAGCACACTGCTTCAAAGGGAGAATGCCTGTCTGATTTTAAGATTCAAAAGAAAGGAAACATGTAAAGCTTAAGAGTCTAAGGAAGACCCACTGAGAAATTCATTGTATTCAGTGTGATTATGGATATGTTGAAGGGTACAGGTAATTTTATATGATAACTATTATCACCTGCATATTTAAAGGGACCATACAAAACAAAGTCATTTAATTATTAAATTATGACACTTGAGCACAGTAATAGGCAGGAAAAATACTAAGGCACTCCTGACTGTAGGATAGAATGAGATTTTCCCCAAATTCCTGCTTTTGACAGGAAATCTGACTTGTTATTTGCAGTAGATGCCCTTGTGGAAAACCAGGTCCTTTAATCTGAATTCCTTTGGTTGTCTTCCTTGGGAAGGGTGCATGCATGCTAAGTCACTTCAGTCGTGTCCAACTCTTTGAAACTATATGGACTTTAGCCCCTCAGGCTCCTCTGTCCTTGGGACTCTCCAGGCAAGAATACTGGAGTGGGTCGCCATGCCCTCCTCCAGGGGATCATCCTGAGCCAGGGATCGAGCCCACATGTCTCAACATCTCCTGCACTGGCTGTCAGGTTCTTTACCACTAGTGCTACCTGGGAAGGGTAGGAAGGACAATACCAAAGAGATGGTTTGGGTGACAGTAATGATCTTAGGGCACATCGAAATTGGTGCTTAGAATAAACAGCCATACCGTGGAGATGGCAGTTCTGAACTGTACATGGTACCACCTGTTTAAATGCTAATGACAGGGCATTTTTCTAAATGTTGAAAGTTCCTGTTAATTATTGAAAAGTGAAAGTAGCTTAGTCAAGTTCAACTCTTTGTGACCCCATGGATTATACAGTCCATGGAATTTTCCAGGCCAGAATACTGGAGTGGGTAGCCTTTCCCTTCTTCAAGGGATCTTTCCAACCCAGGGATTGAACCCAGGTCTCCCACATTTACCACAAGGGAAGCCCAAGAATACTGGAGTGGGTATATACACTGTATCTAATTTGTTCTTTCCTAAGAGAGAATTTGGTAGAGATAGTCAAGAGACTTTAAAAATGGAACATTTCATCATATAGTTACTGCATATAATTCTCAAATCTTAACAGTGAATATACATATACACACAGATTGGCTGACTACCTGGAGGTCAGATCACTTAGCTTCTCCGTTGCTGTTTTTCAGGCTTAGAACCAAATTCTCTTTTTCCCTATTCCCAGCACCGAGCTCTGGCTTTTGAGATATGAGCTAGAGGGTGCATCTTGGAAAACTTTTATTCAGACTGCCACAGCCCCTCCCCCTTTCCCTTTTTCTTGTCTTGAATGTGGATGTAATTTCTGGAGCTAGCAGCAGTCTTGAGGCCAGGAAAGAAAAAAGAACAAGAGAATCATAAATACTGGTTCTGATGTTTTGAGCTCTGGAACCACCAGCGCAACTACCTACTTGTGAATTAACTATATATAAGAAGAATGAACTCAAGAATTTTTCAAGTTGTTGTAAATAGCAATTCTATGACTTGTAGCTGAAGGCAATATTTCTATGGTCCTACAGAATCTTTATAGTACACCTTGGGGCTTCAAAGGGCCAAAGTCATGTGCCATTTAGGCAACAGTTCTATGGTGCAAGGATGAAAGTTCTGTAAATAATATTTGCCTTATTAGAATGTTAATATAACATTATACTATATAATGACATTTATAGTCAAAACTCTTTCAGTGCATCTAATCCTAAAAGATCAGAGAAGAGAGCCTTTCTTAAAGAAGGCTTTGTTGTTGTTCAGTTGCTCAGTTGTGTCCAACTCTTTGCGACCCCATGAATCGCAGCATGCCAGGCCTCCCTGTCCATCACCAACTCCCGCAGTTTACTCAAACTCATGTCCATTGAGTCGGTGATGCCATCCAGTCATCTCATCCTCTGTCATCCCCTTCTCCTCCTGCCCCCAATCCCTCCCAGCATCAGGGTCTTTTCCAAAGAGTCAACTCTTCGCATGAGGTGGCCAAAGTACTGGAGTTTCAGCTTCATCATCAGTCCTTGCAATGAACACCCACGACTGATCTCCTTTAAGATGGACTTGTTGGATCTCCTTGCAGTCCCTTGGACTCTCAAGAGTCTTTTCACAGCTCAAAAGCATCAATTTTTCAGCACTCAGCTTTCTCAACCGTCCAACTATCACATCCATACATGACCACTGGAAAAACCATAGCCTTTACTAGATGGACCTTTGTTGGCAAAGTAATGTCTCTGCTTTTTAATATGCTATCTAGGTTGGTCATAACTTTCTTTCCAAGGAGTAAGCGTCTTTTAATTTCATGGCTGCAATCACCATCTGCAGTGATTTTGGAGCCCCCCAAAATAAAGTCTGACACTGTTTCCACTGCTTCCCCATCTATTTCCCATGAAGTGATGGGACCAGATGCCATGATCTTAGTTTTCTGAATGTTGAGTTTTAAGCCAACTTTTTCACTCTCCTCTTTCACTTTCATCAAGAGGCTTTTTAGTTCCTCTTCACTTTCTGCCATTCAAGCATGGTGTTATCTGCATATCTGTGGTTATTGATATTTCTCCTGGCAATCTTGATTCCAGCTTGTGCTTCTTCCAGCCCAGTGTTTCTCATGATGTACTCTGCATATAAATTAAATAAGCAGGGTGACAATATACAGCCTTGACGTACTCCTTTCCCAATTTGGAACCAGTCTGTTGTTCCATGTCCAGTTCTAACTGCTGCTTCTTGACCTGCATATAGGTTTCTCAAGAGGCAGGTCAGGTGGTCTGGTATTCCCATCTCATTCAGAATTTTCCACAGTTTATTGTGATCCACACAGTCAAAGGTTCATGTCTACTGAATCTGTGATGCCATCCAACCATCTCATCCTCTGTTGCCCTCTTCTCCTTCTGCCCTCAGTCTTTCCCAGCATCAGGGTCAAAGAAGGCTTTGGACTAAAATGACTAGAACATTAATAACATTAAGTATATAGAAGAAACAGTGTTATTGAAGCCATTTAAAAATCATAAATCTCCTTTAAGAGAATGGAGTCATCACACAGAAAAACCAGTACAGCTGCTTCCTGCCCTTTAGATGTGTCTGCTCTTACTTTTCTAAAATTTTTCCTATGCTACAAATTATTTTGTAATTTTTCATTGAGGTTAGCATGACACTGTGTTTCCCTGCCACTAGATATTTTCTGTGTATAACATGCTATTGTCTTGTTGTAGTTGAATTATTTAGTGCTTCCTTTAAATATTGAACATTTAAGATGTCCTAGGGATGAGCATGGGCTTCCCTTGTGACTCAGCTGGTAAAAAATCTGCCTGCGATGTGGGAGTCCTGGGTTTGATCCCTGGGTTGGGAAGATCCCCTAGAGGAGGGAAAGGCTTACCCACTCCAGTATTCTGGCCTGGAGAATTCCATGGACTGTATAGATCATTATGGAACCCCACATGGGGTCCCCTATTCAGCGCTGACCGCCCCCCATGCACACACACCGCAGCTGCTCCTCCGACCACACCTCTCCTCCTGCTCCCCCACCCACAGCCCTTGACCCTGGCCAGCCTCCCCCCACATAGGCCACCAGATGGGCTCCTGAGACCCTCCCCTTGGCAAAGGCTGCCTGTGTGCAGCTCATTCCACTGGGGGTGGAGAGTAGGAGGGTGTATGTTAGACTTAAGACTGGCAAGTAGAGGCCTGGGGAGGGGGTCAGTGTGTCTCAGTTTCCTCCCCAACGACAATGGAATTTTTATAATATCTGAAAACTGAGGGGACTTCCCTGGTGGCTCAGACAGTAAGAGTCCACCTGCAATGCAGGAAACGTGGGTTCAATCCCTGGGTTGGGAAGATCCCCTGGAGAAGGAAATGGCAACCCAC